TAATTTTGAATACTCACCACCTAGGGATGCTACCAGTCAAATATGGTTGATAGCCATCACTTTGTTCTAGAGAAGAAGTCGCTTAAAGCAATATATAGCCAAATTACACCTTTTGGTCCCGCCCCTCAGCCCCCCGCGGGGTCAGCCCCTCCATTTGTACAATTTTGAATCCCCACGTCCCATGAATGCTATCAGCTAAAGTTGATTGATATTCAGTGCATGGTTCTAGAGAAGAAGTCGTTTATAGAAATATAGCCAATGTAAACTGACCCCTTTTGGCCCCGCCCCTCAGCCCTTCCATTTGTACAATTTTGAAACCCTACCACATAGGGATGCTTCCAGTCAAATTTAGTTAAATTCCAATCAGTGGTTAAGAAGAAGAAGCATGACATGCGTACGGACGACAAAAGTACGCCACAGTACGGCATAAGCTCACTTTGGTTCTTCGGACCAGGTGAACTAATAATACATGTATCGAAATTATACTAAGTAGTCCATGTATCTATATATCATACTAAGTAATACATGTATCGAAATTATACTAAATAGTACACGTATCTATATCATACTAAATAGTACCCGTATCTATATAATACTAAATAGTACACGTATCTAAATTATACTAACTAGTATACGTATCTATTTCATACTAAATAGTACATGTATCTATATTATACTAAATAGTACACGTATCTGTATCATACTAAATAGTACACGTATCTATATCATACTAAATAGTACACGTATCTATATAATACTAAATAGTACACGTATCTAAATTATACTAACTAGTATACGTATCTATTTCATACTAAATAGTACACGTATCTATATTATACTGAATAGTACAAGTATCTATATCATTCTAAATAGTACACGTGTCTATATTATACTAATAGTACACGTATCTTTAGTATACTAAATAGTACATGTATCGATTTCATACTAAATAGTACCCGTATCTAAATTATACTAAAAAGTACACGTATCTATTTCATACTAAATAGTACCCGTATCTAAATTATACTAAATAGTAAACGTATCTATATTATACTGAATAGTACACGTATCTCACCTATACTAAATAGTACACTTATCGAAATTATACTAAATAGTAAACGTATCTATATCATCCTAAATAGTACACGTGTCTATATCACACATGGATGGCATAATAACCAGGATAGAGCGCGTATGGTAGATAGATTTGTGTCAGAGTATGGTAGTTAGATGTCTGTCAGGGTTTTGTAGATAGAAGTGTGTCAGAGTATGGTAGATAGATGTCTGTCAGAGTATGGTAGCTACCATACTCTGACGTATGATATAGACACCTGTACTATTTAGTATGGTATAGATACGTGTACCATCTATTAAAATATAGATATGTGTACTATTTAGTACCATATAGATACGTGTAATATTTAGTATAATATAGATGCGTGTACTATTTAGTATGAAATAGATCCGTATACTAGTTAGTATAATTTAGATACATGTACTATTTAGTATTATATAGATACGTGTACTATATCATACTGAATAGTACACGTATCTATATCATACTGAATCGTACACGTATCTTTATCATACTAAATAGTACACGTGTCTATATCATACATGGATGGCATAATAACCAGGATAGAGCGCGTGCCACCTGTATGTATATACAGCTTTGTAATACAGGGTACGATATTTTCACGGTCAGTTCGAGTACATATAAGTAAATACACTGGTATTTACTGTGTAAATATAGGAGTTCATATGACGGACATTCTATAAGCCTGACCAAAGACCTGTCGCGTTTATCTTTTCGTGAAATATTCAAATGAACAGTTTTATTTAAGGGCAGGTTTATTAAACGATTCCGTCTGGTGAATCGTGCTAGGTATACGCGTCCTTGGACTAGTTGTCCGTTATCATGTACTTATATATTTAAGCTGAAGGGTCCAACGACTACATGTAAAATCTATGATATTTTCATAATTCTTAACATAATTTCTGAAAATTGAGCGATTTCATTGCACAAAAATCACAACAATCTAAACAGTGACAGAAATTAAGAATATATTGATATTATTTGTTTGTTAATATAGTTAAGTGGAGGCTGGGCTCTGGGTTAAAGGTGAACACGCAGATAATGTTTGAATTAGAACTAACAACTATAGTTGTTATATGCAGCAAATATAACCTGTAGAAATATAAACAATATTTATAAAAAAAAAGAACATAGACGGCAGTAAGACAGTAACAGAGATGGTAACGAAATTTGTTTGTTATAAAATGTAGATTTAAAATATTTTTTTACTTCGAACTCCAAATCTATCAAACTGGTAAATTATAAACTAACAAAGTATTTAGATGGATAACCATAAAAAAGTACAAGGAGAGTAAGATAGTTGTTTCGGAAAGGTAAGCATTCTGCTTCATCGAACCAGATTCGGATAATGCCATGTCCTCAAATCGGGAACCGGGAGAATGACAACAAAACGACAAGTTTCATGGTGTCACTAATGCTCATAAGCAAATAGAACGACCTTCAAATCACAAGAAGAAATAGCATATTTCACAATCAGATCATGATGGCGGTCATAAACTTGTATCGTTGGAAATCCTGCGTTGTATATCACGGAAGTCATTATATCTGGAGTAAGCTCTTCAATACCGAATCAACTGTGACATGTAAACACGGTCGTTTGAGGAGGCAGGGATATTATTATTAAAGGGAATGTCCACGATCGCAAAGTCGAAATCTTTCCGCTTATCGTAAATCTTAATAGTAAGCCGTCATGTTGAAAGTAAAGATTAAAGTAAACGTGTGGAGTAGAAGCCTCTGTGTTAACCAAGTTCAGGAGGGTAAATACGCTCGGCGTGGTCAATCAATTTCTTGTGATTTAAACATAGCATATCGCCGATATATCTGAAAGAGAATCAAAATGACTTGGAAAGGCTTTGTTTTCAGTCCTGGTACGCATTCTAATTAATTTACCCTGAGATGAAAACTAGAACAAGTCGACCAAAAGAGAGGCACCGTTTTTAACAACGGGAACGATTACATTTTGCCACCAAACTCAATAAAGAAATTGATAACCAAGATCTGAATAATTCTCAGTTTCATCTTCAGTGTATTTCATCCTAGTCTTTGTCATGCTTTCACAAAATACGCTCCATCGCCGTTTATAATTTATTAATATTGCTGCCTTTGTTGAAAAGAAAGCTCTAACAATAAGTGAACGAAAGGGTTCTTCCAGCTTGGTATGTGTTACAGTAGTGTAAAGTGTTCCCCCAGCTTGGTATGTGTTACAGTAGTGTAAAGTGTTCCTCCAGTCTGGTATGTGTTACAGTAGTGTAAAGTGTTCCTCCAGTCTGGTATGTGTTACAGTAGTGTAAAGTGTTCCTCCAGCTTGATATGTGTTACAGTAGTGTAAAGTGTTCCTCCAGTCTGGTATGTATTACAGTAGTGTAAAGTGTTCCTCCAGTCTGGTATGTGTTACAGTAGTGTAAAGTGTTCCTCCAGCTTGATATGTGTTACAGTAGTGTAAAGTGTTCCTCCAGCTTGGTATGTGTTACAGTAGTGTAAAGTGTTCCTCCAGCTTGGTATGTGTTACAGTAGTGTAAAGTGTTCCTCCAGCTTGGTATGTGTTACAGTAGTGTAAAGTGTTCCTCCAGCTTGGTATGTGTTACAGTAGTGTAAAGTGTTCCTCCAGCTTGGTATGTGTTACAGTAGTGTAAAGTGTTCCTCCAGCTTGGTATGTGTTACAGTAGTGTAAAGTGTTCCTCCAGCTTGGTATGTGTTACAGTAGTGTAAAGTGTTCCTCCAGCTTGGTATGTGTTACAGTAGTGTAAAGTGTTCCTCCAGCTTGGTATGTGTTACAGTAGTGTAAAGTGTTCCTCCAGCTTGGTATGTGTTACAGTAGTGTAAAGTGTTCCTCCAGCTTGGTATGTGTTACAGTAGTGTAAAGTGTTCCTCCAGCTTGGTATGTGTTACAGTAGTGTAAAGTGTTCCTCCAGCTTGGTATGTGTTACAGTAGTGTAAAGTGTTCCTCCAGCTTGGTATGTGTTACAGTAGTGTAAAGTGTTCCTCCAGCTTGGTATGTGTTACAGTAGTGTAAAGTGTTCCTCCAGCTTGGTATGTGTTACAGTAGTGTAAAGTGTTCCTCCAGCTTGGTATGTGTTACAGTAGTGTAAAGTGTTCCTCCAGCTTGGTATGTGTTACAGTAGTGTAAAGTGTTCCTCCAGCTTGGTATGTGTTACAGTAGTGTAAAGTGTTCCTCCAGCTTGGTATGTGTTACAGTAGTGTAAAGTGTTCCTCCAGCTTGGTATGTGTTACAGTAGTGTAAAGTGTTCCTCCAGCTTGGTATGTGTTACAGTAGTGTAAAGTGTTCCTCCAGCTTGGTATGTGTTACAGTAGTGTAAAGTGTTCCTCCAGCTTGGTATGTGTTACAGTAGTGTAAAGTGTTCCTCCAGCTTGGTATGTGTTACAGTAGTGTAAAGTGTTCCTCCAGCTTGGTATGTGTTACAGTAGTGTAAAGTGTTCCTCCAGCTTGGTATGTGTTACAGTAGTGTAAAGTGTTCCTCCAGCTTGGTATGTGTTACAGTAGTGTAAAGTGTTCCTCCAGCTTGGTATGTGTTACAGTAGTGTAAAGTGTTCCTCCAGCTTGGTACAGTATGTGTTACAGTAGTGTAAAGTGTTCCTCCAGTTTGGTATGTGTTACAGTAGTCCAAAGTGTTCCTCAAGTTTGGTATGTGTTACAGTAGTGTAAAGTGTTCCTCAAGTTTGGTATGTGTTACAGTAGTGTAAAGTGTCCCTCCAGGTTGGTAAGTGTTAGTGTAGTGCAAAGTGTTCCTCCAGCTTGGTATGTGTTACAGTAGTGTAAAGTGTTCCTCCAGCTTGGTATGTGTTACAGAAGTGTAAAGAGGAGAAAAGTAAATATTTTACGGAGATGATACTTTAGGTTAATCAAAAGATCTCTTGAATCCTTCAACATCCACATTTCATTCGGGTTGTTTTTCTACAATATAGAGGAGAGAGAAAAAGACCAAAAGATATTTGCAGAGCATTACAACTTGACATGACTCTCCTATCAAACCAACATATTTGTGTTCATTGTATTGTAGCGGCGGCTGTGAACCTGTTTGCTCTGGTGGCCATGTTGATCTGGAGTGCTGAGAATGGTGACATGCTTTACGTGTTTGCCCTTGCCATCTTATGGGGGGTAGGGGAAGGAATTTGGACAACACATTTAAATAGTGAGTATAATTCAGTCTATTACCGTAAAAAAAACTAATTACGCACGGTGAAACGATAGCAAATTAAGAGATATGGCCAATAATTAGACACAATTCGTAAGTAATTGTTCCTTTCGTAAATTCAAACCCGTGCAAATTGAATTGAAACCCTCGTAAAAATGTCGTCTTAAGACCGACTGGTCTTTTTGTCCAGCTGAAATGAATCTTGTTGAATATTTTCGAGTTAAGCCCTATATTCTGTTTTGACAGGTTTAGTTGGAGCCCTGTATACAAACAATCCTGAGGCCGCTTACTCTGCCTATAACTTCGTCGTGGCCTTGGGAATGACGGTTGGGTATATATACTCAAACTATGTGTGTATGGAAATTAAAATATACGTCACCGGGTGTCTGTGTATTATAGGTATGTGTAGCTACGTAGTATTTATAAGGAAGAAACCGTTGTATCAGATGCAGGGAGAGACCATTATAGTCCATGTCACATCAAATACAGACGTCACCACGCAACTTAACGCGGACGACGCAATCCAGACGGAACAACGATTCTCAATAACCATGTCCCAGACCGAAGAATGAGTATCAACAACCACGTCCCGGACCAAGGCATGAGGCTAAACCCTGGACTCACAAACCTAGGAATGGGACAAATCTTGGGCTCATTAAACTGCAAATAACCAGGTGAACGGGTGTATCCGTCGTGCTTTACCAAACACAGACCAGAAATCGAGGAATGAGGTTGAACAAGGATACCCCAAACTGAGGGATGAGGCAGGACAAACACAAAGGAAGTCTTGTAATTACTTGTATAAACTCACTGACGCCTGTAAGAGTATTGGGACGCATGCAACACCTCTTACCGAGAAAGGACACGTGAAGTAACAACCGTCCTCTATACCAGACTTACCGCAAGGTGTATTTCATGTGTACAGGCAGAAGACACGTAACCGCATCGATACTACTGGCCGATGATACTGTATTTGTTTACGTTAGACCCACGAGGCCTCTAGCTGTAAGCGGGTATCTAAAGAGCCACAATCATGTGCTTATCGATGAACAGAAGAATGTAGGTGACTATTTTAAAATTAAAAGTATTACAACATTAGCTTCCCTGGACAGGATTTGAACTACAACACCTTTGATTATCGTTTCGTCTACATATCTAGCTCGATCTCAAACTAGTCCGTATACAACTGTTTCCGTCTATTTACAATACCTATTATATTCACAATTATTTTTTTCAATATTGAATATAGTTGTATGACTTAAATAAAAAGCAAATGAATTATGTTTATCTGAATTTAAAAGTTACATATGTGCCTTGTTGTTTCATTGTCACTACCTCGGTTCTCGCTACGAGGACGTAACATTACTTGGGCCAATGTTCTAGGGAATGGTCCTACTCATTGTTTTAGAGAATGGGTCTGCTGGTTGTTTTAGAGAATGTGTCTACTCGTTGTTTTAGGATATGGGTCTACTGGTTGTTTTAGGATATGGTCCTACTCATTGTATTGGGGAATTGGTCTACTCATTGTTTTAGGGAATGGGTCTACTCGTTGTTTTAGGGAATGGGTCTACTCGTTGTTTTAGGATATGGCTCTACTCATTGTTTTAGGGAATGGGTCTACTGGTTGTTTTAGAGAATGGGTCTACTCGTTGTTTTAGGGAATGGGTCTACTCGTTGTTTTAGGGAATGGGTCTACTCGTTGTTTTAGGGAATGGGTCTACTCGTTGTTTTAGGGAATGGGTCTACTCGTTGTTTTAGGGAATGGGTCTACTCGTTGTTTTAGAGAATGGGTCTACTCGTTGTTTTAGGGAATGGGTCTACTCGTTGTTTTAGGATATGGGTCTACTCGTTGTTTTAGAGAATGGGTCTACTCATTGTTTTAGGATATGGGTCTACTCGTTGTTTTAGAGAATGGGTCTACTGGTTGTTTTAGAGAATGGTTGTACTCGTTGTTTTAGGGAATGAGTCTACTCGTTGTTTTTAAGGAATGGGTCTACTGGTTGTTTTAGAGAATGGGTCTACTCGTTGTTTTAGGATATGGGTCTACTGGTTGTTTTAGAGAATGGGTCTACTCATTGTTTTAGGATATGGGTCTACTCGTTGTTTTAGAGAATGGGTCTACTCATTGTTTTAGGATATGGGTCTACTCGTTGTTTTAGAGAATGGGTCTACTGGTTGTTTTAGAGAATGGTTGTACTCGTTGTTTTAGGGAATGAGTCTACTCGTTGTTTTTAAGGAATGGGTCTACTGGTTGTTTTAGAGAATGGGTCTACTCGTTGTTTTAAGGAATGGGTCTACTCACTGTTTTAGGATATGGGTCTACTCATTGTTTAAGAGAATTGTTCTACTGGTTGTTTAAGAGAATGGGTCTACTCGTTGTTTTAGGATATGGGTCTACTCATTGTTTAAGAGAATTGTTCTACTGGTTGTTTTAGGATATTGGTCTAGACACTCGTTGTTTTAGAGAATGTGTCTACTCGTTGTTTCAGAGAATTTTTCTACTCGTTGTTTTAGGGAATGGGTCTACTGGTTGTTTTAGGATATGGGTCTACTGGTTGTTTTAGAGAATGTGTCTACTCGTTGTTTTAGGAAATGGGTCTACTCGTTGTTTTAGAGAATGTGTCTACTGGTTGTTTTAGGATATGGGTCTACTGGTTGTTTTAGAGAATGTGTCTACTCGTTGTTTTAGGAAATGGGTCTACTCGTTGTTTTAGAGAATGTGTCTACTGGTTGTTTTAGGATATGGGTCTACTGGTTGTTTTAGAGAATGTGTCTACTGGTTGTTTTAGGAAATGGGTCTACTCGTTGTTTTAGAGAATGGGTCTACTGGTTGTTTTAGGATATGGGTCTACTGGTTGTTTTAGAGAATGTGTCTACTCGTTGTTTTAGGATATGGGTCTACTGGTTGTTTTAGGAAATGGGTCTACTCGTTGTTTTAGGATATGGGTCTACTGGTTGTTTTAGGATATGGGTCTACTTGTTGTTTTAGAGAATGGGTCTACTCGTTGTTTTAGGATATGGGTTTACTGGTTGTTTTAGGATATGGGTCTACTGGTTGTTTTAGAGAATGGGTCTACTGGTTGTTTTAGGATATGGGTCTACTTGTTGTTTTAGAGAATGGGTCTACTCGTTGTTTTAGGATATGGGTTTACTGGTTGTTTTAGGATATGGGTCTACTGGTTGTTTTAGAGAATGGGTCTACTGGTTGTTTTAGGATATGGGTCTACTGGTTGTTTAAGAGAATGTGTCTTACTCGTTGTTTTAGGATATGGGTCTACTGGTTGTTTTAGAGAATGGGTCTTCTCGTTGTTTTAGGATATGGGTCTACTCATTGTTTTGGTGAATAGGTCTACCCATATCCTAAAACAAAGACAAATCATATAAACAACTGACCTCATCGTGTCATTTTGTCGCTTGCACTGAAACCTTCACTCAACTAGCTGTGAGCTGCATTTTCGTTAGAATCTCATCTCAGACAAGAGGCAGATTAGGCCTGTGTCGCTCACCTCTTTTCAATGCTGTTTGAAACCACATCTCTAACATTCAAATTAAATCTAGCTCAAAATTATTGAAACAAAATCAATAACAAACTGTCACTACAGCTTCATTAGTCTACACCTTATTGATCTTTGTTTGAAGATATTACTTAGTTTCCCATCCCAGCAACTTACACGCCAAATATGCTTACTCTAGGCTTTAACATCTATAGAAAAAAAATGTGTTTTTTTTATATTGACACTTCCGACAAAGAAAGAGGATTGATCCACTAAACAAAGCAGTCTAAAGGCCAAATATCATTACTCTATCTAGATTTTATGGATCTTCAATGAAGTTGTTGAAACATTTAAACAAATTGAATCCCTCTGTCATGCAAGGTATTCATTTGAAAAAAAAATCCAACTGAAATTAGGTCAAATATCCTATTCCTACGAATATGTTCTCTATATATATAAATCTATATAAGTTCTTATAGAGGATATTGTCTCAGCTAGTCAGAGTCCATGAGAGCTACATTGAACTTCCCTATATATCACTCTCAGAAAATTTCACTGCAATCGGTCACATTATGTTTGCACATTTGTCAGGCCTGGCTGGAAATAACAGACGAAAAAGGGCGTTAACTCTTCCGAAAGAATAGTTTCTCGAACCATCATTGAAAATGAATGACAAATTAAACCTTCATTAAACCTTGATTAAGTACATGTAGCATGACGCTATACGTTGCACAAACCGTTTATACACGTTAATCAATGATTAACAGTAAGTAAAAGCTTGATTAAACTACAAATAATTAATGATGGACGAGGGCATCATTAAACCAGCCTTGACCGTTACACAATCTTATAAGAGCGTAGCTTTTAATGGTAACACATGCGTACGTATACAGAGTTGCGTTCCCTTGCTACACGTTGCCTTCAATTTTTTTCGTCCGGAAGTGGTCGTCCAGTGGGGAAACCGGAAGTATACCCCTGAAGCAAAGACAAACACTTTTTTTTCCCCAACTTATCTCAATCATTCTTTTAGTGCCCTGACGGAAGCACACAGAGGATTTCAGTCTTAGTGTAGAAGGAAGATGGAGTATCCGGAGAAAACTCGCGTGGTCGGGCAGGTGACCGGGATTGAATTCGGCCATCTCGGTGAAGACGCGCGCGCTATCCACTGCGCCACCCGACCCATCATATACGTTACGCACAAGAACAAATATTTACTTTAGCTTTGACTGGGAAAAAATGTCGTCATTGAGGCAAAAATTATATTGTGAATACATTTTTACCAATCATCAACGATACCAAAAAATCTACATACGGGAGACAGGGCAAGTTCGGCCACCCCTAATATTTTTGTTTTTGAGCTAATATTCACATTTTTAAGGATCTTAGCAGTTTAGTTGGCTGGACATTCACAAGAAAAAATGGCAAGGAAAACTCTAATGTAAAATTACTAAACAGGAGAAAATTTCTTTTGAGAGGGTAGTATCTAAATAAAATCATGATCTCGCTTCTAGTTATGCGAACTTTCTGTAAACGGAGGTTCGAACGTGTAACACACTGACAGCTTCAAATGATATACATAAAAGCCAAGCCAAGCACTCACTACCATATTGCTGTACGATAAGAATTCCGAGCTTGTACTAAAGGTTAATTATGACTGTATGAAAAACCTCATTAACCTTTTAAGTGTTTTTCTCTTTTCTTTCTTTCGAAATTCAAATTTTTCTGTTATTCTCCTGCTACTTTTGTTAATGGATGTTGAATCTAATCCTGGTCCGAGTTCTGGCGAGCTTTCAGTATTTCATCTTAACATTAGAAGTATTAGAAATAAGTTGGATTATATTGAAGACATAGCAGAAGATTATGATATTGTATGTCTTACTGAAAGTCACTTAGATGACCATGTCCTCTCCGATGATATACCTTTACCAGGATTCCATGCTCCTTTTAGACTAGATAGCAACTTTGCGGGGGTGGTGTTATTGTTTATGTTAATAATTTGTTAAAAGTAAACCGCTTAGCAGACCATGAATATCATGGCGACGAAGCAATTTGGATACAAGTCATCTTACAGTATACAGACCCGAAAATTCAGTCTTACCGTTCTGGGAAAATTTGCGCGCATCTATATATATAATGCTTTCGACATTTCACCAAATTTAATCATTACTGGGGATTTTAATGTAGACTTGATAACTGTTGCAACACACCATGTTTTCTTAGATATAATTAGTTTTTTTAGTTTATCAAATGTTATACTGGAACCTACACGTATAGGTCAGACCAGATCTAGCTTACTCGATCCAATTTTCTTGAACGAATCTCTATCCTGTATTGACTCCTCTAGTCATAAATATAGATAGAAAAGTCAGTGATCACCAAGGTTGTATTGTTAGTGTAGAACTACCATGCGCCTTTAAACCTTCATGACATTCAAAAGTTTAAAAGTCAGCGTAATAAGGTAAATAATATGAAAAAAGTAGTTGTTTAAATTTTTATGAAAATGTCCATGGCAGCATTGATGATTATTTTTCTTCTGATCCTAAAGCGTATTGGACATTAATCAAACGTTTGATGAAATCTAGTGGTACATCACAGACTATACCAACTCTAGTAGATCCAGTTACTGAGAATTTAATTAGTAGCGATGAAGGTTAATCCAACGTATTAAATGAATATTTCTGTAGTATAACTCGTATTGACGAACGTAATGTTCGGGTTCCGGATATTGCGCCGAAAACCAATAAAACTTTTGATTCAATTAGTTTAAATTACATTGAAATTA